CCATTCGTTTTGTCTTAACAAATAACGAAAGAAAGAAGACTTTTTTTACAAAATAAATTTTTATTATTTACTTTAGTAGTACATTCTTTAAGTAATTGTTGAAAAACAACATTATTTTCAAGAAGAACAACAGTTTGTGGATGTTCATTAGAAGCAACTGTTTGTTGTTTTTTTATTCTCGTAATACGTCATCGTGGATGTTTTATTTGAAAGGATCGAGTTAAACGAGAATATTCTTTTTGAAATTCCACTAGATAAAAGATGAAGATATATCTATGGATGTTGCTGATTCAAGTACACTTCCCTTAAGATTTTCAAATAAATAAGAATTATTCGACGTAGAAAATGAATTATCAAGTGGACGAACTAATGGTGCATTCATTACAATTAATGAACAATATTGATAAGTTAAATCACGACAATCACGATATAAACGAATATGATCAGAAAAATACTTTGAATACAAAAAATAAAAATAAATTCATATGAAAGAATTTAATTAAAAAAAAAATTTTTTTTACTTGTAAATGTTTATTAGTTAAACCAAAAAGATGATTATCTTCATTAAATTTTGATGCAATTTTACTATCAACAAATGAAACAAATGATTATGTTTCCATAAATGCAAGTAAAAAAGACACATGTGGTTTTGGTTAATCAGCAATAAACATAGTTCGATCAAAATTTTTTGTTGTACTTCGTTGTGCTAACCATTGATCAACATTAGAATATTTGCCCACTGGTAGATAACATATAAATACATCCATTTGACTAAATAATTGGGCAAAACGACTTATAAATGATACACGTAAACAATTATTCGCTGATATTCGATGTAATTCAGATTCATTAAATAAACATGATAGTCTACTATTACTATTTTCATCATCATTATTATTAATAACAATTCCAGCACGTTTAGCTATTGCTGCAAGTCTTGCTAATGCTTGACTTGGTTGATAATTTGATTCTTTTAATAAATTTTCATCATAAATATGTGTCCAATCTTCACTCTGTTGATATTTTTGTTTAGTCTTAAAAGATTTTTTTTTTGATAAATTACTATGAATATAATTATTAAATCGTAATAAAATATTATTTAATTCATTTATAAAACAAGTTCGATCTGAAAAACGTGGCATATCATTAGGCAATTTAATATGTCCAGTATCAATATGAACAACACGTCGTTGAACTTCAAATGTTAATTCATCGCTTGTATCACTAGATCTATCATCATCATCAACATTTTTACCATCGGAATTTACATTCTATTTATTTATACAAAGATCCATTATAGCAGGTACAGGTACATCAAGACATACAAGTGCAGCAGTA